TCCTCCTGGTACCCAGTGGAGCCTCCGGTGGCCGGTCTACGGTCTCCGCCAGACACCCCGTGAGTGGCACGACACACTGAGGACGACTCTTGCTGCTCTTGGGTTTGCTCCTTCAACTGCTGACCCGTCGCTGTTTCTACGCACCGACACCACTCTACCGCCGTTCTACGTTCTCGTGTACGTAGACGACTTGGTTTTTGCTACTGCTGACACTAAGGCACTCGCCCACGTGAAGTCGGAGCTGCAGAAGAGACACACGTGCACAGACCTGAGTGAGCTGACAAGCTATCTTGGCATGCGGATCACCCGGGACAGAGCACAGCGCACCATTACCTTGACTCAGTCACACATGGTGCAGCAGGTCCTTCAGCGCTTCCGCTTCACGTACTCCTCGCCACAGCCCACTCCTCTGCCTACGCGCCACTCGCTCTCAGCTCTGCCTTCGGATGAGTCCGTAGAGCCGAGTGGCCCGTATCCAGAGCTTGTGGGCTGCCTCATGTACCTGATGACCTGCACTCGACCCGACCTTGCATACCCTTTTAGCATCCTAGCACGCTATGTCGCTCCTGGCCGACACAGGAAGGAGCACATGGATGCTGCTAAGAGGGTGTTGCGCTACATGTGCAGTACGTCGGGCATGGGGCTCGTGCTTGGAGGGCGACGCTCAGTGGTCCTCACTGGTCACGCAGACGCTTCTTGGGCTGACGACTTGGCTACGCAGCGGTCGTCACAGGGTTACACTTTCAGCCTTGGTTCCAGCTCTGTTTCGTGGCGGTCTACCCGCTCGTCTTCTGTTCTCGGCTCTAGCTGTGAGGCTGAGATTTACGCAGGGGCCATGGCTGCACAGGAGTTACGCTGGCTCACCTACCTGCTGACCGACCTGGGAGAGCCGCCTCGTTCTCCTCCAGTTCTGTACGTAGACAACAAGGCCATGCTGGCTTTGTGTCAGGAGTACAGACTGGAGCACAGAACGAAGCACATTGCTCTTCGCTACTTCCTTGCACGTGAGCTGCAGCAGCGTGGTCAGCTGCGCCTTGCTTACGTGGCCTCTCAGGCCAACACTGCTGATATCTTTACCAAGGCACTTCAGCCTTGTGATCATCAGCGCTTCTGTACTATGTTGGGTCTTGTGCCTACCTGGCCTCACTTGCTTACCTCTTGACTTTGCTTTGTACTGTGATCTATATATCCTGCACCTGCCTGTATACCTTTGCTAGGTTGCGATCACTGTCTTGCTTGTTCACCTTGATTTATAATCCTGCATGTGAACTGGCCTTTTGGCCTTTGAACTTGTGCTCGGAATGTGTGGTGACGTTGTGATCCACCCTGAGCTTGCCTTGCTTGACTGGTCTTGTGACCCCTTGTTCTCCCCCACTTTGCCTATGGGGGTGTGTCAAACATTCATGCTATAGTCTTTCTAGGCTGTAGTGGGGTAGACAGTATGGGGTACAGTTTCCTAGGGTTGCATATTTGTACCCAACTCATTTCCTAGTCAATCATTCCTTGTTCTTATTCTCACAAGGCACACTCTCCATGAAAATGTTTTTTTTTGTTCCGAGTGCAATTGAGTGATCGAGCGAGAATTGCACTATCGAAGCAAGAGTACAATGAGCGAAGGCATGAGCGAAGAATATATAGCGAAACTACAGTGGTAACGGTAATGGACTATGGTTGTCGCGCGATGGGCCTGGGACTGAGGTTGGGGGAAAATGTCGAAGCGGAGGCCCGGAGCGCGGGTTACCCGCCGAGCCGTGAGGTTGGGGTGCGACGTGCGAAGGTGGCGGGAGGATTGTCGATGCGAGAGTTGCGAATGGTAACGGTGCTGACTGTGGTGCTACAGTGGTGTACGCGCTGAGCGGGGACGCGAAGTAAGGAAAAGGAATTTTCCTTACACTACCCCCCCCCCCTAAGGAGGTCCTCCTTACGAAAGCGCGTATACATCCCTGAAGTTTCGGCTGCGCAGGTACTCGGTGAGGACGGGGTGGTTTTCGATTCTGTCCAGGGGAACCCAGTTGTCTTCGGTGGGTGTACGGTCTTTCCAGCGGATCAGGAACTCGATCCTTCGGGCTCCTCGAGGGTCACGAACTCTGTGGCTCAGAATTTTCTCGGGTGTGATGATTGGTTCAGTCGGTGGTCGAGTCATGCTGGCTGGGCGATTATGTGGCAGTTGGCTTGTGGACGGGATGTAAGGGCGAAGCAGACTGACGTGGAATGAGGGGCTGACGTACCAGTCAGCGGGGAGGAGGAGGTGGGCGGTGACGGGCGTAATCATGTGGCTTATGCGAAATGGCCCGCAATATCGGGGGCGGAGTTTTGGGGTGATGGGCAGTCGGAGGTTCTGAGTGTCGAGTAAAACTAGGTCGTCAGGTTGGTAAGTGACAGGTCGGCGGTGGCGGTCGGCGTTACGTTTAGCGATGATGTTCGATTTTTTTATTGCGTCTGCTGCCCGGGTCCGTGTTGCTTGTAAAATTTCGGCGAACTGTTGTGCTCGTGGCACCGGGTTGTCGGGATTCGGGGTCATGGGTACTGTCGGGTCTTGTCCGTAGTTCAGGTAAAACAGTGACTGTTGGGTCATGGCGGATGGTGAGTTGTTGTATGCGAACTCAGTGAGTGGCAGCTGTTGTTCCCAGGAGGTTGGGTCGTCGCACGTGGCTCAGATGAGTGCTCCATAGTCTGATTTGTCCGTTCTGTCTGTCCGTCGGTTTCGGGGTGGTACGAAGAACTGAACTGTAGTCGCATGCCGAACCGCTGGTGAATTTCGTGTCGCGGTCGCTGATTATTGCTGCTGGTATCCCGTGTAGTCGAATGACGGTGGAGATGAAGAGGTGTGCTGTTTCTTCGGCTGTGATTGATTTTTTGCAGGCTGCGAAGTGTGCCATTTTCGTCAGTCGATCGACGACGACCAGGATCGCGTCGTTCCCACTCGCCCCGGCCGGTAACCCCGTGACGAAGTCCATCGTCACCTGCTGCCAAGCACGCTCTGGGGGTGGTATCGGCTGCAACTGTCCTGCCGGCCGCTGCCGTGATGATTTCATGAGCTGGCAAGTGGGACACGATGCCACGTGTCGTTGTACGTCGGTCAACATCTCGGGCCAGTAATAATACCGCTGCAGCTGCTGCTGTGTTTTCTCTACCCTGAAATGCCCCGAGGTAACTCCGTCGTGTGCCTCCTGTAACAGTAATTCCCGTAGCAGTGTGTACCCGGGCACCCAGATGCGGTCGGTCCCGGCTTTTACGTAATAGACTCCCATTGCTGCTGCGAACTGCTGCGAATTTCCTCCTGTGAAGAATGGATCCGTTTGGTACCCGTGGGTAAATAGGCCTGTCAATAGGGGGCTGGTCTGGACGAGTAGTATTGCATGGATCTGGGCAGTGGGGCGGGTCAGTGCGTCGGCGATGTTTGAGGCTCCTTTTTTGTAGGTGACCGTGTAGTGAAAATTGGACTCGAGAAAATCGAGCCAACGAATCTGTCGTGGGTTGAGGTGTGGCTGTGCGCGGAGGTACTGTAGTGATTTATGGTCTGTCCGTACTGTCACGTCTGGGCCGGTCAAGTAACAGCGCCACACTTTGAACGCGTGCACGATCGCAAGCATTTCGCGGTCGTGTATCGGGTATTTTTTCTCGGGCGGATGCAGTTTTCGTGACTCGTATGCGATGGGCTGTAGGCCGTTGCCGAAGTCCTGTAGCAGTACGGCTCCGATGGCGATGTCGCTTGCGTCGGTAACTACTTCGAATGGGCGGTGTGGGTCGGCGTTGCGCAGGACGGGTGGTGAAAAGAGAACATTTTTCAGGGCAGAGAAGGCAGCATGCTCTTTCTCCCCCCACGTAAAAGCGACCCCTTTCCATAACAAGTCCGTCAGCGGCGCTGTTAACCGTGCCATGTCGGGGACGAACCGACGCACGTAATTGACGAACCCCAAAAAGCTCTGTAGTTCCGTGATATTCGTCGGGGGGTGCCAGGCTTTCACCGTGTCTAACTTCTTTGGGTCAATTTCGACCCCAACCTCCGAAATAACGTGCCCCAGAAACTCTAGCCGGTCCTGAAAAAACTCGCACTTGGAACCCTTTGTCAGTAGCCGATGCTCGTCTAAAATCTTAAAGCTCGCGTCTCCAATTACACCCTTCCATCCAAGTGTTAAACGCTTGATATAGGGTAACAGACTGCTTTGTCGCAAAGTACACCCAGGCAAGGGTTGAGATTCGGGAAAGTGTGGGTGGGGTGGTTTGGGTTTGCAACGTGCACTGTAATTGGGTGAGCAAATACGCCAAAGCAGGTTGGTTTGGCAAACTCACCTGCGCGACAAACAAAGCTGAGAATGCGCCCATCGTGCGACAGCGGGACCGTCGCCCTCTCGTCCCTGCAAACCAAGCGTTTTACACAGCTCAGAAATATGAGACTGGGAACTCGTCAATATCTCAAAAGGCACTCTGCACCAAGTGTTTTACCTCCCTCGACACATGTCCCCGACTGGAGCACGACGAACGCAAAGTGGTTAGAAAGCCTCACCCAAAACCTCGATGCCCCACACTTCGTATGCCCATCACGACCTACACTGCTACAATCTCATTCGCATTCGACAAAAACGCGACCTGTCATAGACTATAGACCGCCATCTCTATCCCTAGACAATCCACAGCCCACGCCGCGCTGCCCCGAACCGCCTTTCATCGCCCAAACGCCCGACCCTTGATTAGGTGAGCCTAATCAATTTGCGGGAGATTACCCCGCCAGAAATGTGGGCCCCTAGAATCGCGTCGACATCGTAGGCCCGCGCAGTACGAGGCCCTTACGAGCACTAAGTGAACGGCTGTAGTGTAATAAGTGGCCTTACACGGCCTAATGAGAGGCGTTTTGAGCGGCGTAACGGGGGGCGAAACTAAATACGGAGTAAGGAGAGGCGCAATGAGAGGCAGAATTAGACTTGGCGTGAGAGGCGGAATGAGCGGCGGAATGAGAGACGCACTGAGAGGCGGTGTGAAGTGCGGAAGCAGGGGCGGAATTATAGGCGGAATGAGAGGCGGAATGTGAGGCGGAATGAGAGGCGGAAAAAGAGGCGGAACGAGAGGCGGAATGAGAGGCGGAACGAGAGGCGGAACGAGAGGCGGCGTGAGAGGCGGGATGAGAGGCGGATTGAGAGGCGGGATGAGGCGAATAGATAGGCGTAATGAGAGGCGTAATGAGAGGCGTAATGAGAGGCGTAATGAGAGGCGTAATGAGGGGCGGAAAGAAACCCGGAATGAGAGGCGACGCGAGAGGCGGAGTGAGATGCGGAAGGAGGGGCGGAATGAGAGGCGGAAGGAGGGGCGGCTTGAGATGCGGAATGAGAGGCGGAACGGGGAAGGGAGGAGCAGCGAGAGGGGGAAGGTAGGAGGTGCGAGAGGGGGAAGGGAGCTGCTGTGGGTGGGGGAAGGGAGGAGCTGTGAGAGGGGGAAGGGACGAGCTGTGATATGGGGAATGGAGATGCTGTGTGTGGGAAGTGAGGAGCTGTGAGAGGGGGAAGGGAGATGATGTGGGTGGGGGAAGGGAGGTGCTGTGAGAGGGGGAAGGGAGAAGCTGTGAGAGGGGGAAGGGAGATGCTGTGGGTGGGGGAAGGTAGGAGCTGTGAGAGGGGGAAGGGAGGTACAGTGATAGGGGGAAGGGAGATGATGTGGGTGGGGAAGGGAGGAGCTGTGAGAGGGGGAAGGGAGGAGCTGTGATAGGGGGAAGGGAGATGCTGTGGGTTTAGGGAAGGGAGATGCTGTGGGTGGGGGAAGGTAGGAGCTGTGAGAGGGGGAAGGGAGGAGCTGTGATAGGGGGAAGGTAGGAGCTGTGATAGGGGGAAGGTAGGAGATGTGAGAGGGGGAAGGGAGATGATGTGGGTGGGGGAAGGGAGGAGCTGTGAGAGGGGGAAGGGAGGAGCTGTGATAGGGGGAAGGGAGGAGCTGTGATAGGGGGAAGGGAGATGCTGTGGGTGGGGGAAGGGAGATGCTGTGAGATGGGGAAGGGAGGAGCTGTGAGAGGGGGAAGGGAGGAGCTGTGATAGGGGGAAGGGAGATGCTGTGGGTGGGGGAAGGGAGATGCTGTGGGTGGGGGAAGGTAGGAGCTGTGAGAGGGGGAAGGGAGGAGAGGACAGAGGTGGGGAGAAGGTGCACTGAGAGGGGGAAGGAGGAGAGGACAGAGGTCCTGTGAGAGGGGGGAGGGAAGGTGCTTAGCGATAGCACCGGGTGTGAACTTGTGGTGAGGCATACGCACGAATGCTCTCCATCCTTCCTGTCTCCGTACCCACCTCCTCACTCCCCTATCCCTTTCCCGCGCCTGGACCCGTTCCCGCTCCTCCCAAACCATTCCCCCATTGGGGGGAATAATATCCCATTCTTATTTTCCACTGCTCCCTCTCATCCCCCCCCTAGTGTCCCATCATTTTCCCCTGGAGTCCCTCTCATTTCACCCTTTGTTACCCCTAATTTTCCCTATGGGAGGGAGGTGCTGTCAGAAGGGGAGGTAGGTGAGCAGGTAGGGTGAAGATACGTGATGATGGAGGGGGGAGGGACATGAGGTGAGAGGGTGGAGGGAGGGGAGGTGAGTGGTGGAAGATAGGTGAGGAAGGGGGAAGGGTGGTGAGGTCAGAGGGGGGATGGGATGTGAGGGTAGGGGGAAATGAAGGTGAGTTCAGAGGGGGGAAGGGAGGTGCTGAGAGACGGGAGAGAAGGTGTTGGGAGGGGGGCAAGAGGTGCTGTCAGAGGGGGAAAGAGGTGATTTGAGAGGGGAGAGTTAAGTGCATAGGGAGGGGGAAAGGACTTGATTTCATATGGGGAATGTAGGCAAACAGGGGAGGGGAAAAGGAAGGTGAGGTCAAAAGGGGGGAATGAAGGTGCGTGGAGAGGGAAAAGAGGGTGCGGGCAGTGGGTTAGGAGGTGATGGGTGAGTTGGAAGGGGGGTGCGGTGCGGTCAGAGGGGCAAGATAAGTGCACGAATAAAGAGGAAAGGAGTTGAGGCACGCGGGGTAGAGGGTTAGTGGTGACGCTGGCAGGGGGGGAAGAGGTGATGTGAGAGGGGAACAGAGGTGCTTAGGGAGGGGGGTCTGGGGGTGGGAAGGGTGGTGCTGGCTGGGGCAATGCAACGATGTGAAATGCGGGCTGGGGCGGTGCAACGATGTGAGATGGGGATGAGATGTGCTTAGAGAGGGGGAAGCGAGGTACTGTCATAGTGGGAAGGGAGGTGAGGACAGAGGGAGAAGGGAGGTACAGTGACAGGGGGAAGGTTGAGAGGACAGAGGGGGGATGGTAGTGCAGTGAGTGTCGGAGTGGAGGTGCTGAGAGAGGGGTAAGTGAGGTGCTGATAGAGGGGAACGAGAGGTGCTGATAGAGGGGAACTAGAGGTGCTGATAGAGGGGAACGAGGTGCTGATAGAGGGGAACGAGAGGTGCTGATAGATGGGGGAGGGGGGTGCTGACCTCCGAGACATAGGCGGTGTCGGAGAGGGGAACCCTTCGTCCATGCCTTGTGAACCCTTCATCCATGCCTTCACACCCCTTCCACCATCTGCCAGAAATTCCATTCTCCCCTTTCCATCTCTGTCCTTTCCATCTCCACCCTTTCCCCCGATTCGTCTCCTCCCCTCTGCACCGCATGCCATGTGCTCTCTTTCCCCTCATCTCAGCACCTCCCTTCGCCGTTCATCTACTGGTTCTAGCCGTTCAAGGTCTTTTTCTGCCGTTCACCCTCTAGTTACACCGGTCCTACTCTCATTCCACTAAGCCCTTCTCTTTTTTCGCCGTCCCTTTTCTCATTCCGCCGTTCCTACTCTCATTCCGCCGTTGCTACGACGGTTTCGCGCTCCCTATTGTCATTCCGCCCTTCATCCTCCCTTTCCTCCCTTTTTCTTCCCATTCAACCCGTATACACATATTTCCGCCCGTCATGCGGGACCATTCCGCCTCTCTGACTCGCGTTCCGCCGTCGTCATCTCATTTCGCCCTTTATATTTTCGTTCCGCACTTGACGCTCTCATGTCGCAATTACTTATCGCATTCCGCTCTTTCGCCCCTCATTCCGCCCATCCTTACTCTTACCTCGCCTATCCCTAACCTATCTCTGCCCGTCCCTAATAATAGCGTGCTCTGGAATGCATACCTTGTTTCTGTGGCGGTTGGGAAGGTGCTCAGTGACGGGACCCTAGAATTGGTTGAGTTTGCACTCTGTTTGAGACACTTCAGTTTTGTTTTCGTGCGACATGCTGTAGTCGTCGAGGTGGGTCGTTCAGGGCTTGATCTGGGCGAACCCTGTCCCCTTAGGCTCGTCCACATTCCAAACCTGACCACCTTGGTTTGTCTTGGCCTCGGCTGTTTTGGAGTTCGCTTTATTTGTTTCACATTCTCGTCACAAATTTTGTCGTTCGTCACCCAATCCCATCCCTGCAAACCCAACCAAGTATTAAACGCTTGGAAATTGGAGACGCGAGCTTTAAACACTGCTTCCAGATCTGCTAAGTGCTGCTGCTTGTCGCGATTGTAGACGAGAATGTCGTCGAGGTAAACTATCACGCATTTATCTAAAAGTGGCCTAAACGCCTCGTTCATGGTCATCTGAAATGTCGCTGGTGCGTTGGTCAGCCCGAAAGGCATCACGGTGTACTCGATTGACCCGTACCTAGTTCGGAAAGCTGTCTTGGCGCAGTCCGATGGTTCGACCCTAATTTGATGGTAACCTCCCCGTAAATCTATTTTCGAAAAAACCCGTGCTGTTCGCAGTTGGTCGATCAGTTCGTCGGCGCGGGGAATGGGATACCGCGACTTGACTGTTACCCTGTTGAGCGCTCGGTAGTCGATGCACATGCGAAACCCTCCGTCTTTTTTTGGCGTGAACAATATCGGTGCGGCGAACGGTGACGAGCTCGGTCGGATGAATTTCTTCTCTAACAAGTAATCTAACTGCTTTCTCAGTTCGTCGAGCTCGGGTTGTGTCAGTCTGAACTGGCGCTGTACGGTTGACTGTGCCCCCGGTTCTAATTCTATTCGGTGGTCGTGTGCTCGCTGAGGTGGCAGTCCTTCCGGTAAGTCGTCAGGAAAAATCCCGGGGTATCGTTTCAACAGTTCCTGTAGTTCGGGCGGTACCGCTGCCAGTAGTTTCTTGAAATCACTCGGCTGCTCTGCTCCCTCTACTACTGAAATGTCTACTGCGTACACATCAGCTCCAGCAGCGACAGCCCGTTTCATGGTGACGGCGTTGACGTGTACCGTTGAAGACTCGGGCGACTGCGAGCGAGGTAGCTCAACCCAGTTACCGCTATTTCGCACAGTGCAGCTACCCGTTGTCCAGTCAATTCGCGGGTTATACCGTCGCAGCCAATCACGTCCCAGTAAAATGTCGTGCCCATCCATTGTTGTCGCGAGCATTTCCTGTGTAAATCTGAAATTTCCCCCGCAGCGGACTTTGACTCTCTCCACCCTTTCCCGTATGGCCAGTGGCGTGCCGTCGACTAAGCGTGCATCTATCTCAGGTAAACAACGGCTAAGTGTCAGTTGCATTTTTCGTGCGGTTGCGGTATTAACTAAACTGAGACTTGCTCCTCCGTCGATAAAAATCTTCACTACTGCTCCCTGTATTTTCCCGTGGATCAGTACTGGGCAATCCGTTGCTGTACCCTCCTTATTCGTCCGAGCCCGATCGATAGCATGAATCGGTACTGTGACTCGGTGAGGGTCGGTGGGGTTGGGCGAGCAGGCAGTCTCGTCAGTAGTTGGCCCGATTCCTACTGACTGCTGGCGTTTCCCTGCCTTGGAGACTCCCTCCCCTGCTCTGCTCCGCGGCGCCTCAGCTCCTCTGGGCATTCACTCTTGCGATGGCCTGGCCTATTGCAAGCAAAGCAGCGCCCCTTAAACGGCGCGGCAGCTGCATTCGTCGCAACGGCATGTACGGTGGCGTGCTCGATCGGTCCCCGAGGACGATGTCCGTAGTAGGACCCCGGTCTCGGACGGCGCAAAATGTCGATTTTCTCGGGGAGCGCGAGAATCTCGTTGAAGTTCGAGAGCCCGCGTAGCATGATCTCGTGCGAAATGTCTGGCTTCAGCCCTCCGACGTAACGGTCCACCCGCTCCGCCTCGTGCATGTAGCCGACTTGCTCGCATAATGCGAGAAAACCACTCGTGTAGTCTTGAACCGACCCGAGCTGCCGCCAAGTACGCAGTCTCTGACGCGCCGAAATAGAAGCCGCGATCGGCTCGAAGCGCGCCCGAAGCCCTGCGCACCACGCATCCCACGTGCTGTACTGGGCGGTTTCGCAAAATGAACTCCAGGTGACGGCTGGACCCGTGGCCCCTTCCTCTTGCAACGGTGGCTCGTAGGCGCGCGGCGACGTCACGATGACTCGCCACCAGTCCATGGCGGGGCCCCTCAGCAGCGAGACGGCATATCGGATCTTTGCTGCGTCCGACTCGACGTAATTCGCGTCGAAGAAGACGTTCATCGTGAAGACCCACGATTGAACCGTTGGACCTCCACGCTGGCTCGGGTCGAAGCAGGGCGGGCGTTGCGGCTTGAGTGGCATTGGTGCCATAATGGCCTGTTCGCCATTTGTCGCCGCGAACTCCACGTGTCGACGGGCTTCACGAGGCTCCCGCGGGCTTGGTGCGACCCCGTTTCCCCCCATCGGTTGGGCAGCGCCATCACTGGCTGCACCTGAGCGCTGTCCCACGCTGTCGTGTTGTGTTGGTGTGCCGGACGAAATGACGATCGGCTCGTCCGATTGTGCATATGCATTTGTCGGTGCGTGTGGTGGCGCTGGAGTATTCACCGTGGATTGCTGACGCGCGGAGTCACGTTCCGCCGTGAGCGTCGCAATTTCGAGCGTCGATTCTTCAACTTGGCGCACCAGACGGTCAAGTTGCTTCTGCGTCAACGTCGCGAGCGTGAATTCGGCCATGGCGAGGGTGTCGGGCAAGCTCAGAGAGAGCCTCTGTCGTGGCCGTGGGTGCTTACGAGAGAGCACTACGAGCGGCGGTGCTGTGTCGCTGAGAGACGTCTACCCCCCCAAAAAATTGAGATAGTGAGGAAGCGAAGGTGTGGGTGCGGTCCGAGAAGAGATCGTAGGCTCTGAATACCAAGTGTTACGAGTGCAATTGAGTGATCGAGCGAGAATTGCACTATCGAAGCAAGAGTACAATGAGCGAAGGCATGAGCGAAGAATATATAGCGAAACTACAGTGGTAACGGTAATGGACTGTGGTTGTCGCGCAACGGGCCTGGGACTGAGGTTGGGGGAAAATGTCGAAGCGGAGGCCCGGAGCGCGGGTTACCCGCCGAGCCGTGAGGTTGGGGTGCGACGTGCGAAGGTGGCGGGAGGTTTGTCGATGCGAGAGTTGCGAATGGTAACGGTGCTGACTGTGGTGCTACAGTGGTGCACGCGCTGAGCGGGGACGCGAAGTAAGGAAAAGGAATTTTCCTTACATTTTTCTTAGAGTGGACCAAAATTGGCTTCTGATGAACGAAACTGAACGTGGTTGAAGAATGATGCTGAAGGGTTCTGCCCCGCGCTGGTTACCACCAGGTCACCAGGCGACAGGACTTCGCACAGTCACAGCGCGACTCACGGGGCACCTCCATCAAGGCGCCAGGTGCCCAGTAGGTTTCCAATGCGGCTCGCAGGCAGGCACAGCCAAACATTTCGCCGTCGCTAACGGAGCACACAGGTTGGGCACAGAATTTGTCGAATGATGTTCCGTCGTGTGCCATACACCATGGCAGGCAGGCAATTGGCTGCGCTGGACGACATTTGACCAATAAAATTCTGTAACTTGCAGCGGAAAATGCAGCGCATTCCGCCAGGAGCTCCTGAAGTCGTGAATGCCGCAGCGAAAGCGAAGGGAGGAACTCGCATGGCGCAAAACGACCCACCTGTGCCCTCCATTCCCTAGAAGAGCATCAACGCGTCTGCTGTCATTCTATTCGTAGCCAGACTAATCATCACTCGATTCACGTCTCCTGGGATCGCCTCAAACTCGACTTGCAACCCCGTTCTAACACGCGGCTCCATCCAGCCATGGCTCGGATGATGTCACTCTCTCGCTCGCTGTCTCTCGACGTTAAGCGCCTCGCCGTCGTCGCTGGTGAGCTCACCGCGTCGCCTCGTCCCCTCGTATCGCCCTGATATGTCACACGACGCCCCTGCCATGTCGCCTCGTCGCCCGGTCGTGTCGTTCGCCGCCCTGCGATGTCATCTCGTCGTTTGCGATGTCGCACTCGTTGCGTGTCGCTCGTCGCCCTGTCGTGTCGCGGCCTCGTCGCCCTGCCCTTGTCGCCCGTCGACCTGTCGTGTCGCTCGTCGCCCTGTCGTGTCGCCTCGTCACCCTGTCGTCGCCTCGTCGCCCTGTCGTGTCACCTCGTCGCCCTGTCGTGTCGCCTCGTCGCCCTGTCGTATCGCCTCGTCACCCTGTCGTCTCGCCTCCTCACCCTGTCGTGTCGCCTCGTCGCCCTGTCGTGTCGCCTCGTCGGCTTGTCGTGCCGCTCCGTCACGGAGACGGTCTCCCTGTTGTGTCGCTCCGTCGCCCTGTCATGTCGTTCGCCCACGAGTCGTTCCGCGGACGAGGTATCGCTCCGGCGGGAGTGCATCATCGATAGCCCGCACGTGGTCCCGCCCACATTTCCTCCGCATTTCCCTCCCCCATTTGTCTCCCCACCTCTCCGCGCAGAACCTCGTCTCAGAACTGGCTCTTACTAAGCCGCACTTCTTGACCGCGGGTACCTGACCCCCCCATGCTTCGCTACACCTGTTTCCCCCATCCGTCGCTGCGCTGTTTCCTGCACACCCCTCGCGTTGGCAGCGCTTCTCTCGCTCTCCCTCTGCTGCGCAGCGGGCGGCGCCGTGCGGCGAGAGCTGCTGGATGCGAGCGACGGCCTCCTGACCCAAACGGTCAGCACCACGGGCAGCAGCACGAGCGGCGGCAGCACGGACCCTAACGAGACTCTCGTTATCGGAGATGTAAGCACCGACCCCGAGAGAAGCAGCAGCAGCAGCGCTGGCAGCAGCTCCGGCTCCATCAGCGGGGGGAGCACCGCGAGCGCTGGCGGCGCGGCCGCGGGTAGCACCTCTGGGAGCAGCACTGGGAGCGGCACTGTCAGCAGCAGTGGGAGTACCGAAGAGTCGTACGACAACATTGTTGTCTTAAATGCTCCCACCCGACGTGAGTCATGCACATGCCCATCCACACGCACATGCACATGCCCCATGCACATGCGTCAACCCCAACCACCTCGTGTCTCCTACTACAGACCATCCAATGTTCCGTTTGCCGAATTGCTCAACTCTGTCCTCTTCTGCCCGCTGCAGTCCGAGCCTCCTCAGTGCTCACATCAAAGACCAACATGAGCGCCAAGTTCGTCGTTGATGTTAACATGTGAGTGCACGTCACTCGATGTGAGCTTACTCTCTTCTCTCTCTTCTCTCTTCTCTCTCTCTCTCTCTCTCTCTCTCTCTCTCTCTCTCTCTCTCTCTCTCTCTCTCTCTCTCTCTCTCTCTCTCTCTCTCTCTCTCTCTCTCTCTCTCTCTCACCTCCTGCATCTCACCGCTGCCTCACCCCAGCATCTCACCGCTGGCTCACCCTAGCATATCACCACTCTGTCGCAACCCTGCATCCCTCTCCACCCATTCACAGCACATCGGCACAGCAAAGGGCGCTCTACACCTTCACCGTGATGAACGTGCCAAGCAGCCCAGCGCCAGTCTTCTCCAACTCCTCCTACCACACATACACAGGGCGGCTCATAGCAGAGTTCACGTGCAAGCCCAAGTCCACCAGCACGCTGGGAACCTACCGCTGCACGTCAAGTACTGTCGCCAACCTCTCCGTGCCGTTCAGGCCAGTGAGCAGGGTGAAGGCGCTGGTGGATTCGTGGTTCTTCTTCAGCGGCTACAACACCGGCTTCTACTCCACCATCAAAGTGAATGGCGTGACGCTGCGCGGTAACATCACCTCCTCTGTTGATATTGCGAAGTTGTAGGATGGATTTCTAGGCGTATTCAAATAAATTGTTGAAGGTGTACTTCTTGAATTCTAATACTGCCATGCGATCGAGGATTCTAATACTGCAATGGAAAATAATTAAAATAGAATCATACCATGGGATTTTTCATTGTGAGAATCTCCCGAGAAACCTGCCAGGGATCTTGCATTGCATGACATGGTGGTGCAATGCTGTGTGGTGCAATGCAATGCACCTGGATAGAACCAAATAGAATGCACATCAGTCTCAGAACACTTTCTACAAACGGGCCTTGTACATGATTTCGAGCTTCGTGCGAAAGGTTGCCAGACTTGCCCCAGGCTGATGGAGGCAAGATGTGCAGGTGTGCCACGGGCCGCTGCAATGGGCTCAGAGATGGATGGCAGTGGGCGCAGATGGATGGCAGTGGGCTCACAGATGGATGGCAGTGGGCTCACAGATGGATGGCAGTGGGCTCACAGATGGATGGCAGTGGGCTCACAGATGGATGGCAGTGGGCGCACCGATGAATGAGTGCAGAGGATTAATGTGGATGGTGGTAGCTGGTGGTGCTGAGAGGGTCCAGAGCGATGGATGCAGGGAGACTTGCAGCTAGGTGCGCCTGGAGGGGCTCAGGGACCTGTGGGGGAGAGGGGTGTACAGAAATGAAGAGAGGCGGAGAGGAAGGTGAGGGGCGGAGAGAAAGGGGAGTGGCCGAGGCAGAGGAAGGAGAGGGGCAGAGGGAGGAGTGGAAGAACTCATGAGCTGGTAAAGAGGGAGCTCCCATCCCAACACGCAGCACAGACTCTTGATTGAGGAACCCACTGCAGAGTGGCACAGGTCTCAGAATGCGGTGCTGCAGGCGTGGCATGGTGCAGAGGAGACCCTCATGGCATATGATCCACCTGCCACCAAACCTCCTCACTCACCCCCCCTTGCTTCCTTGCCATCTTCCACGTACCCCCCATGCCCCCCAGGCATGGCCTTGAAAGCTCCAGTTGATGTGACGGGTGTGCCTCCTGCTGCAGTCGCGCCCTGTGGTATGTGGTCCGTGGCAGCAGCACCAGGAACCCGTGGCAGTGGTGTGCTTGACGGCCTGAGTACAGGGCAGTGGGGCGAGAAAAGAGGAAGGGCCGTGAGGGCAGTGGGAGGAGGAAAGAGGGAGGGGCACCAGGGCCCAAAATTGGTTTAGGCCAACCCTTACAAATCAGGGTTCCAGCCCCTCCTTACCCCGACCCCTAGGGTAAATTTTTTCGTACCCTGTTTGCAGCAGGGTGAATCAACCACTAGCCTGATTTGAGCAGGGTAGTTTTAGGCCAACCCTGTTTCAGTTACTATTTTGTGAGCTAAGTTATTTACAATGACATAATAAAGTAGCACTCACAAAGTCCATGAGCTCTGGAAGAGCATCACATTCACAACACACCTACTCAGTGCCACCCCCACTGCCTACTACTTCTTCTACAAACTGGGTGTCGCCTCATTGGGTGAAACAACCAATGAGGCGACATGGCGTGTCGCCGACAACGACTCTTGGTTTTATGCCAGTGGTAAGAAGCGACAATGCTTGTTTGTGTGGGTGTGGTACAGTTCGTCACCAAGCGGAGTATGGCCTGATCCGCGGTAAAAAGGTTTCGGTATCAGGGTAGTCTACACCCTACCCTGATACTGTCAGGCTAACCATAATTCCTATCAGGGTAAAAAAAAACATGCTCTTTTTGCAAAAGGGTAACTTTCGTGGAATCCTGATTTTGGCAGGGTAATCCTGAAAAAGCGGCCTGCCCCCAGGGTAATCAGGGCGTTTTACCCTGATATTTTGGGCCCTGGGGCACGAAGGTAGTAAGAGGAGGAGAGAGGTAGGGGCATAAGGAAAGAGGGAGGAGAATGAGGGCAGCGGGAGGAGGAAAGAGGGAGAATGAGGGCAGCGGGAGGAGGAAAGAGGGAGGAGAATGAGGGCAGCGGGAGGAGGAAAGAGGGAGGGGCATGAGGGCAGTGAGGAGGAAAGGGGGAGGGGCACGAGGGTAGTGGGAGGAGGAAAGGGGAGGGGTATGAGGGAAATGGGCTCATGAAAGTTGGATTGTGCTGATAGGACGACACAAGGACAGCAAGTGAGCAACACAGCACTTGCGAGAGGGTAGCAGGCAGAACCGGTGAGAGGGTAGCAGGCAGATACAGTGAGAGGGTAGCAGACAGCATGTGGCGACATGCATGGTAAGCGGCTGAAAGGGTGAGATGGTGATTGGCACGTCCTCATGATGGGTCTGCGGGGAAGATAAGGGCCAGGGAGAGAGGCGGTGGGAGACTTAGTCATGAGGGTGCGCCGCAAATATAGGAAGGACGAAGGAGCATGGAGAGCAATGGCAGGATGAGGAAGAACGGTATGCAAGGTGGGTGTTGGGAGTGACTGACTGACAGCATGCTTTTATGGTGAGGCCGAATGATGCATTCCAGACCCAATGATGCATTCCAGACCCAATGATGCATTCCAGACCCAATGATGCATTCCAGACCCAATGATGCATTCCAGACCCAATGATGCATTCCAGACCCAATGATCCATTCCAGACCCAATGACGCATTCCAGACCCAATGACGCATTCCAGACCCAATGACGCATTCCAGACCCAATGACGCATTCCAGACCCAATGACGCATTCCAGACCCAATGATGCATTCCAGACCCAATGATCCATTCCAGACCCAATGATGCATTCCAGACCCAATGATGCATTCCAGACCCAATGGTGCATTCCAGACCCGTTGATACATTCCAGACCCAATGATGCATTCCAGATCCAATCAGACCCACTTCGGGGCCCACACGCAATGTGAAGTGGCCGGCAAAAACAACACATAGAACTTGGAGAATGTTCCTAAAATCCATGAAACGCTTTCAAAGTGAATGGCGAAAGGGGGGTGGTCGGTGGTGGATGGCGAGGAGAGATGGTGTATGGGAGGAGAGGAGATGAGGGAGAAGTAGGAGGAGATAGAGGGGACAAATGAGAATGAGAAGAAGGACGAGATGAGGCTGCTATAAGGGGAGCTCAGCTCACCCACCAGTCGTGCCTCACCACAGGTCGTGCCTCACCACAGGGCGTGCCTCACCTCAGGTCGTGCCTCACCACAGGGCGTGCCCCACCACATGACATGGCTCCACGGGCAGCCTTGTGGCCTCCATCTAAAATATCTCAGGTTGTTTTTCCAGGCATAAACAACAACTGTCCAACTGTAAACTGGAGATTGCCTATTCTGAACAGGCCGGTCGTAGATGGGGCCGACTCTAGGCGTTTCGGGTTAAAAAACAGCCGACCCCGTTCATGTCCGCGAACAGGTACTTTGTGTTGTTGAATGGCATTATTGCTGAGGCACTACACGCTTATGCACAGTGCGAACACTGGTGTTAATGTCTGCAACATAAATGGTTGTTACACGGTAATCCCATCTATGACACTTGTTGACCCGTTTATGATTAGCATGCCCATATTGTGAGCGGTCATAAACATCTGTAATATGGCCTTATAACCCTCATGATTATTGGGTTACAATTAGCAGCCATTAGTGTAACAAATTTAGCTCTGCATGATCATAAAGCATGCATAATAATATACGAGGGGCCTCTCACGTCTTCATGTCTCAGGCCTCCTGAGGTCCCTCCCCTCGCTCCCTCCGTCGCTTGCAACGCACTCCCTGCATTGAGGGGCAGCAGCGCGCCTCTCCTCATTCCTCCTCGTTCCCTCCGACCACTGCTCCTTTGCAGACCCTTCACATGGACGTGTGGGGTCCAGCCCCTATCCCTGGGCCGGGCTGGGAGCGCTACTTCCTACTGGTCGGCGACGACTACACGCGCCACACCACGATGTTTCCCTTTCAGCGCAAGGGCGATGCCCGTCTTGTTCTGATCCATTGGATCCGCGCTGTTTGTCAATAGTTGAGCGCACAGTTCCGTCAGGACCTCTCGGTACTCCATTTGCACTCTGAACGTGGAGGTGAGTTTTCCTCCGGTCTTCTTGAAGACTTTTGTCGTGAGGAGGGCATCACCGAATCGTTCACGCTTTTGGATTCTCCACAGCAAAATGGGATTGCTGAGCGCCGCATTGGCTTCATCATGGAGGTTGCTCGCACCTCCATGATCCATGCAGCTGCTCCCCATTTTCTGTGGCCGTTTGCTATCCAATATGCCGCGCATCAGCTCAACACCTGGCCCCGTGTCTACGAGCCAGAGACCTTGCCAAGACTGCGTTGGACGGGGGAGGTTGGCGATGCGTCTGCGTTTTAAGTCTGGGGTTCGATGGCCCTTGGTCGCGGACAAGCTCTCTTATCGCACCGTTCACTGCGTCTTCCTTGGTTTTCCCACAGACGCGCCTGGCTGGCAGTTCTACCTCCCAGCCATGCGTCATGTCCTGTCCTCTCAGGACGTCACCTTTGACGAGTCGATTTGCTACTGTCGTCTCATCCCCCACGTGTCTTCTCTTATCACCTTGCTGCCCCTCTTCTTGGTTCCAGGTTACCCCCCGGTAGACCCCCACCCCCCCTCGCATCCTGCTCCCTCAGGTGTGTCTCAGGTCACACCACCCCCCTTGGTTGAGCCTTTGGAGGTCTCCTCTAGCCCGGCTGAGGGGGGTGACCTTGCTGCTGAACACACTGCGGCCTCTCACCGCTCCCCACGCTTAGAGACCCTTCCTCGATTTCCACCTCGGCCGTCTTTGCCGCCTCTGCTGCCTGTCGGTGTGGACTCTGGCTGGAGGTGGTGGCACAGGAGGTGTGGGCTCTGAGGGTGCTGAAGTTGGAGGTGCTGGTTCTCGAGGTGCTGAGCCTTGGGGTGCTGAGCCTGGGGGTGCTGCACCTGGAGGTGGGTAGTAGCTGCCATCGCGTATGCATGAGACTCTCTCGCTGCAGCAGCTGTGTGAGTGGGTAGTCGGACGCCGTGCTGACACCGGAGGTGCTGGTTTTGGGGGTGCAGAGTCTGGGGTTGCTGAGCGTAAGGGTGCTGTCATTCGAGGTCCTGAACCTGCGGTTGCTGACTCTGGAGCTTGAGGTACTGGAGCAGGAGGTGCTGAGGCTGCTGGTGTTGTAGGTACTAGAGTCGGAGGTCTAGGAGCTGGAGGTACAGGAGCTGGAGGTGCTGGGGGTTCTGGTGCTACAGGTAATGGGATTGGGACTGCTGGTGCTGGAGGTGCTACTCTGGAGGCACAGCTGGTGGTGGTGCTGGAGGTACTCGAGCCGGGGGTGCTGGAGGTGATGCGCAGCCTGAGCAGTGACGACCGTTCTTCTGGCCTCTGTCAGAGTCGTCGCTGCCACCACTTGGCTCTCAGTCCTCCGTCTTCCACTGGCCTTACTCCTCCCATACTGTGTCCACTGCCTGACCCGTCTCAGCCATAGTTACTGCCTGACTCTCCTATGCCTGCTCCTTATCCTTACACTGCGCAGTAAGACTCCCTAAGAGAGCGTCGTGAGCTTGCATCTCGTCTTGCCTCGCCTATTCGTCGTGCTCGTCATGTTCGTCCTCCGCTTGTCCCTGGCATGCACACCATGGCACTTCGTCCTTCCTCTGTTGCACATCGTCTTGTCATGCTCTCTCCTCCTGCGTCCTCTCCGCCTAACGTTCCTGACCCTGAATCTAACCTTGCTCGTGCTGCTAGTCCTACTGTTACGCGTGCTCTAGCCACACTTGTCACTCACCCTACTTTTGAGTCTACTGCTGCGTCTGCGTTAGTCACAAAGCTCGCTGACTTCGCTTCTGCCTGTCGTCTTGACTATTTCGCGAGTCTTCTCTCTGAGTCTGGCTGTGCTCCGTCCGTCGGGGGTGAGTTTGCCCTTGGCAGTAACGTCCTTAAGGACACGCATTTTGAGCTTGAGTGCCTCGCGGCTGATGTACCTCATCTCGCTGCCATGCTTCTTGCCCCTGAGGGAGACCTGGATGCACTAGACATCCCGACCCCGCGCTCTTACACAGAGGCGATTTCGGGTCAGTACTCATCTCAGTGGCAGACAGCCATGGACGCAAAGATGGCATCCTGGAAGTCCATAGGCACCTACGTCAGCGCAGTCCCCCTTCCTTCGGCGAACACAGTCGATGGCATGTGGATTTTCTGGGTGAAGCGGCCGCCGGGTTCTCCGCCTGTCTTCAAGGCGCGTTACGTTGCAGGAGGCTTCAGTCGGCGACAGGGGAATTGGGTATTACTGCACATTGCAGCACAGCGTGACTACGAGCTCCACTCGCTTGACTTCTCCACAACCTTCCTGCAGGGGAGACTTCGAGAGGAGATCTGGCTGCGCCGCCCACCTGGCTTTACTGGATCGTTTCCTGAGGGTACCCAATGGAGCCTCCGGTGACAAGTCTACAGTATCCGCCTTACACCCCAGTAGTGGCATGACACACTGAGGACTACACACGGCTCTTGAGTTTGCTCCTTCGACTGCTGACCAGTCGCTGTTTCTGCGCAGCGACCCTTCTCTGCCGCTGTTCTACATCCTCGTGTACGTTAACGACTTGGTTTTTGCTACTGTTGACACTGAGGCACTGGCCCTTGTGAAGGCGGAGCTACATAAGAGACACACATGTACTGACCCGGGTGAGCTGCGTAGCTATCTTGGCTTGCAGATCACCCGGGACAGAGCAAGATGCACCATCACTCTGACTAAGTCACACATGGTACAGCAAAACCTTGTTGTCAGAGGTCCACTGGCGATCCCCAATTGATCCTAGGGAAGGGTTACAGGCACGGCGGCCTGGGGGGTTATGGGCGCACTCACCCGCTACACAAACAAGCCCTTTTATCCCAATGGTCTAGTGGTTGGGATTCTGACATGGTATCAGAGCGAAGGTCTCGGGTTCGAATCCCAGCGTGTGCACTTCGGGCATCCCAGTGCGGGGGGGTGTCAGAGGTCCACTGGCGATCCCCGATTGATCCTAGGGAAGGGTTACAGGTACGTCGGCCTGGGGGGTTATGGGCGCACTCACCCGCTATACAAACAAGCCTCTTTATCCCAATGGTCTAGTGATTGGGATTCGGACACTTGTGAGGATCTAGGATCAAGCTCAGAAAACTGGGTTGTAAAAATGATTG